GGTGTATTTGCACGCAGGGATGGGGGGTGTGAGTGTGTATGTGTGTGTGGTGGTGAGGAGGGTGTATCTGCATCCACGGACGGGGAGGGTGCTGGCAGGGGGGATGTTGGTGAAGAGGGTGTATCCGCACGCAGGGATGCCGTGTGTGAGTGCGGGTGTTGGTGAGGAGGATGTAGCTGCACCCAGGAACGGTGTCTGGGGGAGAGGGTGTTGGTGAGCAGGGTGTATTTGCAGGCAGGGATGGAGTGTGTGCACGCCTGTGCTGGTGAAGAGGGTGTATCTGCACCCAGGGATGGGTTTGTGGGTTTGTGTGTTGGCTGGAGGGTGTATTTTTCCACCCTGGGTTTGTGTGTGCGTGTGTTGGTGTGTGTGTGGCTGCAGGCGTGCAAGGGGATGCACTCGGGGGGGTGTTGCACCCACAGATGGTGCAGGGATGTGTTGGCGGCGGGTACGGTTTTGCCCCTGGGGTGTGCACAAGTGGGTGTTGGTGGGGAGGGTGTATTTGGACCCACGGATGCTCTGTGTGTGTGTGTAAGTAGGTGCTGAGGGCGTGCTTGCACCCAGCGATTGTGTGTGTGGTGGTGGTGGTGGTGTGTACATGGGCCTGGGGGGTGGCAGTGGTGGGTGGGTGCTCCCAGGGGTGTAAGTGTGCGCACACGTGTGTGTGCACGCACTGGGTGTGAGCAGGGAGTGGAGAGTGCATGTGCACGTAGGGGTGTTGTGTGGGCTCCCGCATTGTGGGTGCCGGTGTGGGGGGGCTCTCCGGGTGTGCGCGGGGCTGGGGTGTGCGTGGGTGGTGGTGGTAACTGGTGGTGTCCAGCACTGGGTGTCCGTGTGTCCACAGAGGGCTGCCCGGGGTCCCACTGCCGCAATGGGGAAACTGAGGCAAGGGGTGTTGTGTCGGACAGTGATGCCGGCTGTGCACCTCTGTGTGTGTACCCGTGGTTGTGTGGGATCCACAGCTGCGGGGAGGGTGCTCTGGGTGTTGTGTGGGTGTGCGGCTGTGGGTGGGTGCTCGTGAGGACGCTGCGCTCAGGGTGTGTGGAGGTGTTGTGTGCGGGTGTACGCAGGGCTTGGGGTAGGTGTGCAGCTGCATGTGGGTGTGCAGCCGTGCTAGGATGGGTGTATGGTGGCGCGTGGGGCTGCGTGGGTGCAAGCGTGCGGCTGTGTAGGTGTATGGTTGTACGGCTGTGGGTGTGCACGGAGGATGCTGTGTGTAGGTCTGTGGTTGTGCACAGGGCTGTGCGGGAGTGGGAGTGCAGCTGTAGGGGGTGCGTGGCTGTGCGTGGGGGTGTGCTGGGATGGTCATGCGCCTGTGCGGTGGTGTGACTGTCCCCAGGCCGGCTGTGTCCCCTCGCTGTGAGTTCACCCCTAGGGCTCCGGCAGGGTGTTCCCGTGATGGGTGGCTGCCTGTACCCAAACGCCTGTCTCCCTGCACCAGGTGTTGGCTGCCTGGGGACCCCCGGGGTGACGTGGGCACCAGACTCTCATGGGTTCCTGCTGCTTCAGTGTCACCCGGCGCCTCCGTCTCGGCTTTCAGATGTGTGGTGGCCTGCCGGATCCTCCGGCTGCTGGGTGCGAGGAGGAGGGTGACACCGAGGAAGGAGTGAGGGCCAGAGGTGATGCTGTCCCATGGGACCGGTCCCCCAGCAGTGATTTACCATGGGTTGGCTCTCAGGCTGCCGGGGGGCTTCAAATTTGGGTGGGAGACATTACCTGAGCAGTCAGGAGGTGGTTTAGCAACCGGTGGTGACCTCCTCAGGCTGTACACACTGGTGATTTGGCCATGGGGTGCCATGGCTGGGGCTCTGTGGGGCACCCACAGGTGGTGGGTGCTGGGACACCCCAGACAGGGTCTCCTGTGGCCCTGGGTGCGTCAGTGTGACCTTGGGGTGTGCGAGGATGGGGGGGAGATGGGTGGGGGTGGGGGGATGGATGGGTGGATGTGTGAGTGCTGTGGGGGTGGAGGGATGGGTGCTACGGGGGTGGAAAGGTGGGTGGTAGGGAGATGGGCGGGTGTAAGGGTGCTACAGGGATGGATGGGTGTTGGGGAATGGATGGATGGGTGTTGGGGATAGGGGTGGGTGCTGCGGGATGGATGGGTGTTACGGGGATGGGTGTTGGGGGGTGGATGGGTGAATTGATGGGTGAATCTGGGGGGGAGATGGGTGTGTGGGTGCCGGGGATGGGTGAATGGATGGATGGGTGTTGCGGGGTGGAGAGAGGGGTGTCAGGAAGGGGGCTGAATGGTTGTTTGGATGTTGGGGGAGGGATGGATGGATGGATGGCTGTTGGGCAGCGGTGGATGACTGTGGGCACAGGACCATGGTGCAGGGGTGCTGCGGGGACATGTGGCCACCAGACAGCCGGGGGCAGGGGGAGCTCTGGGTGCCCACGCTCTCTGTCGGTGCCATGGGAGTGGGTTTAGGGGGGCACCGAGCACCCCAGGGTGGGCATGGGGCAATGCCAGCAGTGCCAAACCCCCATTTCGGGGGTGTCCACAGGCCGGGGCGGTTTCTCCCCGGCATGGTGCAGCAGCCCTGGGGTAGGTTAGCCGGTCCCTGAGGCCTGACATTTATAAACATCAGCCGCTCCTGGAGAATCAATACAGTTTAATAACCAGCAAGCGGAGACGGGAGACACATCAAAATGACACTCTGCGGCTCCGTAAATGTTATTCTAAATCATACTCGCCGGGTTTATTACATTAAGCATACAGCAGCGGGCACGGGAAATTTATTCCATCAGAGGCCATCGCGCTGGTAAATGGGACTGGCGGGTCGGTGGAGAGGGGTCAGCCTCCCCCCACCTCCCCCAACATGGGTTTCCCTCCTGGATATGGCAGGGATATGGGATATGAGGGGGATGTTCATCCCACAGGTCTCTGTGCCGTCACAGCCTCTGAGGTTTGGGGCGAGCCGGATTGTGCCCCGGTGCAGGGGATGGGGTGGATGTTTGGGGGACCGGTGATGTGATGGGTGACAGGAGGGTTGGTTGGGTGGTCCTGCGTCCCTCAGTGCCACCCCGCGGCTCCTGGGGGCTCGGTCCCCTCCCTGGAGCATCCCTGGCTCTGCGCTGACATTTCTCCTCGTGTTTCCCTGGAGACGAGGCGGTTGCTGTGGAAACCTCCCTCCTCTTCTTCCTTAACCATCCTCTTCCTCACCCTGGGGCGGTGTGTGTGTGGGGGGAGCCTAGCACTGCCCCCACCCAGCTCCTAAATTTGGGGACCCCCTCCAGGGGTGCCCGAGGGGGAACCCCGGGATGGGGGGTACACACCCGTGTGGGTGCGACAGTGGCATGCACGTGTGCGCGGCGGTCCCTGTGCCATGCTCGAGCCATGGACGTGTGCGCGCACACCCGCCCCGTCATGCGTGACATCCCGCCGTTGCCGTGACGACCCCATCGAGCACATGGCTCTGGCTCTGAAGCATCGCGGGGGA